GTCTGGGTGTGTGTTCCATTGTGGGTCTCCCTGGCATTAGGGGTTAGGGCTTGTGTGAGAAAAGTGGCTCTGTGTCCATGTGTGGGGTTCTGTCAGCCACTGGGCCACTGCCAGGCAGCCCAGCTCTGCGTCCACGTGATGCCAACACATCCTGCTCAGCCCAGCAAGAATCCAGTTCCTCAGGCCCCAGCGCAGTCCTCAGAGCAGTGGCACCAGCAGCACCCAGGAGCTTGTTGGAAACGCAGCATCCTGCACCCCGCCCAGCCTGCGAGATCAGAGTCTCCGTTTTCACAGGACTCCAGACGAGGCACGCACATTAAAGCTGGGAAGCCCTGGTCCGGAGTGGACTCCTGGCCGTGTTGCTGAGATGCACGGCTGTCACGCAGGGCACGTCTGGAGCCTGAAGTTGGCACTGCACCTTCTCCTGCCACCTGAGACGCTGCTGCTAGAAGGAGGAGGGGAGAGGGAGGGTCCCGGGCGAGGGTGCCCCGGAGGCACAGGCCAAACCCCAGCTGGGAGCCACACGTTGCCAGGACCCCAGCAGCCACCGCTGAGCTCCTTCCTTGGTTCTGACCAGGAGAGGGAAACGGGCCCAGTCTCTTGAGAAGCTTTCCCTGGCCGTCTCCAAACCCAGGAGGGTCCCTAGTCCGTCGGGCGAGGATGCTGTGACCCACACTTGCCTCAATACCCTGCCTTCCCAGGGGCCACATCCGTACTGGCCAAAATTGCATGAGACAGGTGGCCCCAGAGCAAAATGCTTTCTAAGACAGTGTCCAAGAAGAACCTCAAGACCTTCCCTGAAGCTCTGGCCTCGTACGAGATTCCCACTCTCACCAGACCCCATGTCAGATTCTTTGTGTGGGAGGCAGGCCTGTGCCCTCCGTCCTACCACAGGTCTTTGGACCAGCACGAAGCTCCATCTGCTGCTGTCACACCTGGCAGCCATTTCAGAGGAGTCATGGCCTGCCTGGGGTGTCCCTCTATGGAGGATCTGTTCAGGCTGCAACACCCACCAGCTCCCCACTCTATATAACTCAGGGCCGCATTCCCTACAAAACATCCCAACCCACACACACACATACAGTGTGATTAAAGTAAAATTCCATCATATAAATATCTCCATCAAGGAATCATACAGGGAAGGCCCAGGTGGCCATTGGGAACAGACTAGGGTGTTAGTTTTTTAAACAGAGGCATAAACAATTGTACCCAGGGCAGTTAAATACACAGCGGCGCAACAGCACTTCCTGGTGGTCACTTGAAGTGGTGCACTCAGCAGTGGGTTCCATCTTTCACCCACTTGCCAGGCCTGTCATTGAAGATTTCGTCTCCAGAGGACCAGGGAGGCCCCAGCTTGAGAGAGGGGGCTCCGATCAATCCAGGGTGCTACTTGGTAGGAGGTCAAGTAAAGGACTTGATGGGGAACGAAGTGAAAAAATAAGATGTGAGGCTGGGGGATACCACTTTCCTCCATCTCCCCAGGCCCTGTGACCTCAGATAATGCAGAGCTGGCTCCTTGGTTAAGTTCTGTGCCGGCAGCTTTAACCCCTCCTGTGGGCCGTCAGAGGGCTGACATCTCCAGGCTCCTGGGCTGCACTGCCGCCTTGTCCGCTTGTAGGTAAATACAGCACCAAAGGTATCTTCATGAAAGCACTTCTGGCTCTTTTAGGTGGAAACAGAGACCAATGTGTCAAGTCCAGGCTGGGATGAGCCCCTGGGGCTGCCCAGCTTCCCTGTCACGTGGACCTTCATGAGCCATCTGTCTTCCCAACTGTCATACTTAGATTGTGCTGGAATCTGGTTTAGAGCCTAAGCCCGCTCAGCACCTGCTCTGGAGCGGGCCCTCTAACCATCTCCAAAGCTTTACTTGGCATTCCCATATCCTGCCCAGCGCTCACCCCCCACCTAAGACGCTCCAGGAAGTGTGAGCTCTGAGATAAATACGTTTGGGAAACGCTGTGTCTTTGCTTTGCTCCCAGCCTTGAAGGGTCCTGACGCACAGCAGCACGTTGAAGCCCCCCAGAAGCCTTGTAGTAAAGCAACGTGCTTGCCTTGGCTTAACTAAGACTGTCCCAGGCTATTTGACCTTGGAACTTTTTGATGCCAAATATCTACTGACCCATTCAACCCATTTGGGGAAATGCCTGTTATCTCCTCACTGTTCTTCCAACACGCCAGCTTAATTCCCACCCCCGGGCCTTTGTACCTGCTGCCCCCTCCAGAACAGCCCCGAGTGTTTCCTTCAGTATCCACGGGGCTCCTCCTCACTATCTCAGGTTTATTCTCAGACGCC